GGCTCTGGGTGGGGTTTTTGTCTTATGGTTCCAATCAAGGGGCTCAGCGTCAGGGGGCGTGGCTCTGGTGCACCAATCAGGGACGAGGAGGTTGGGCAAAGAGGTAAGGAAGCTAATCAGACTCCAGGGAGGTCAGTTAAGTGGGTGTGAGGAGAGAAGGGGCAGCGGCCTGGTGGGAGTGTGGAGGCTGCAGCAGGCCGATCAGCACGCACGGCTGGGGCAGTCACGAATTTCGTCAGGGGAGGCGGGACAAACACGCACCAATCAAGGAGCGCACAGTTCTGAGCTCCAATCAGAGCCAGGGCAGAATCGCTTGCAGCCAATCAGACACCGCGCCGAGGGGGTGGGTCTTTAGTGCACCAATGAGATAAAGAACAGGAAGAGCACAACACCCCAGTCAGTAAGCGGACTCGTGACCCAGAAGCGGAAGTGGGGAGAGAAACCTGGCTGCGGCACAGCCATGAATATCCTCCCCAAGAAGTCGTGGCACGTGCGAAACAAAGACAATGTGGCCCGGGTGCGGCGGGACGAGGCCCAGGCTGAGGATGAGCGTCGGAGGCGGGAGGCTCGGGCCTTGCTGGCTGAGCAGGAGGTGAGTCACTGCGCAGGCGCGGAGCTCGGGCCGGGCGCATGGCGTTTGGTCACGTGACTTAGATGGCTATTGCCTTAAACCATTTTCAAGGGGTGTTAGGAGCAGAAATCTCAGCCAAACCATTTGCCAACGGGGCGGGGCACAGAAAATCCCTGGGGACTAAACTATTTCCAAAGTGCGGGGAGGGGGAGAGGAGGGAGCTGGCTTGAACCACTTATGAATTGCGTGGAGGATGAAAGAAAAATGGAATAACCCGTACTAATGGGGGAGGAGGAAAAAGAAACTAGACTGTACTGCTTCCAGCTGTGGGGAGGAGAGGGCAAAGAAGAGATCCTTCCCCAAGCAGTGCCCAGCTGGGGCTGGAGGGGGAGGCCCTTGGGCCACATTTCTTCTTCCAGCAGTGTGGGTTTCTGCTCCTCCCTTGGACAAGGAGAACCCCAGGGACCTGTGGGCTCCACACTGCCTCCTCTGTCTTTAATTACCCTTGCCCTTGGGTGACAAATCTGTGGAATCTCAGCCCAGATTCCTGCTGGCTTTATTATTTGTAGCAGCAGCACCCTCCACCTGCCCTGGGGCTGGCCCCCTTCCTCAAGGCCAGGTACTGAATAAGCCACAGAGTCCAGCAAGTCCTGGCCCTGAACCCCCATCCTTCCCCTGACAGCCACATCCCACCTGCAGGCACGGACCAAGTTCCTGAGAAAGAAGGCACGGCTCTTGGCCCTGCCGGAGCCCAATGGCAGGTTGGAGCTGGCCCTCTGCAGTGAGCAGCCACACCACATTGACCTCTTCCGGGACCTGGAGGATGGCAAGGGCAGCAAACCAGGGAACAAGGAGTATGAGGAGGAGAAGCGCAAGGAGAAGGTAACGGAAGAAGGCTTGCACATCTGAGGCCCCAGGGGACCTGATTGGACACCTGTGGGGACGGGCTGCCCCCACTCATAAGAGCTGTCACTGACTGGGTCACCCCATAGGTCCATCATACCCAGTCCCCTGCATCATGTGGGCAGAGTGCGGATGCTGAGAGAGTGAACAGGGCATGACCAGGGCTTTTCCTCTGTCACTTGCAACCTCCCAGCATTTAAGGTCCAGGAAGCTCTGAGTCACAGGCTGTATTGTTAATGCCCAAGCTCTATAGCTACTACTGCCCTTTTCCTCCAAGAATTTGTCCAGTCCCTTTTTTAAATCTGGCCGTCAGCTTCCACCACATCCGGTGGCAATGGGTTCCCCACTTGAGTTGCACACTGTGTGAAAAAGGTTCCTTTAAACTTACTGCCTGCCACTTTCATTTGGTGACCCCTAGTTCTTGTCTCGTGAGTGACAGCAAATAATAAATCCATGTCTACTTTCTTTTGACCATTTAGTATTTTGTAAACCCTTTTCATGTCCCCTTATGCAGCTCTTTAAGCTGAACAGGCCTAGCGCTTTAGTTCTCATATGGAAGCCCTTCCATACTACTATACCACTCTGGGACTCTGATGGGGCAGGGATGTGACTCCACTGTCCATCCCCACTGGCCCAATTACAGCTGTGCTTGGCAGTGGCCCCAAAGCATTTGCACCCTGCTGTATCCATCCCCCATCCCTCAAAATCTTAAGAGCTGTATCTCTTGAGTACAGGCCAGTGGAGGGAGCATCTACCCCCATGGGCCTCAGTTGAAGAAACTACCCCTCCATTCAGACTCCTATCATACCCCTGCCATGCACAGGAGCACCAGGAGAAGGCCATCGGGCTGCTGACATATCTGGGACAGAGTGCAGCCGAGGCCCAGACCAACCCACCCTGGTACCAGGAGGCCCCAGACCGCAGCAAGGAGGCAGCTGACATGGTCAGGGATGAGAAGCTGAAAGGGAAGCTGGACCCCCTCAGGGAGATGAAAAAGTACCTACGGAAGAAAGGGGAACAAAAGAAACACAAGAAAGAAAAGGAGAGGCACAAGGAGAAGGACAGGCGCAAAGAGGAAAGGAAGGGAGTGGGGTGAGTAGGACATGAGCAGGGCTGGATCCTGGTATTCTGTGTACTGGAGCAGGGCTGGGCCTGTGCTGTAGACTTCTTCCTACATATCCCAGCATGCCAGCAACTTCAGGCCACAGGGACTACAGCCCACAGCCTGTCCCTCTTTTTTTCTCTTGTCCCTATGAAGGTTGGGAGGCCAAGTGGGAAGTTCTTTCCCCCCCCCTCCATCTCCTGCATACCCTGTTTCTGCTCCCAGCCAGCCCTCACTCCAGCTGCCAGGAGGATGTTAACCCCTTGCTCTTTGTCCCAGGACTTCTGGCCCCACTTCCCTGGAGGAGCTGAGGCAGGAGCGGCTGCAGCGAGAGAAAGCAGAGCAAGCCAAGGCAGAAGCCCTGCTGGCGGGGATGCGGGGAGGGTCAGCCAGCTGCAGGGAGGAAGAGATGGATGACAGGAGACGCTGCTACAATTCCCAGTTCAACCCACAGCTGGCCCGGAAACCCCGGGGCCAGGAAGAGGAGCAGTGCAGAATGGGTGCTTTGGAGCTCTAGACATAGAACTGCCTGAATAGGCACTATAGCAGGCCCAGGGTTCTGAGGACAGAGAATGAGGCGGCTCTGGCTCTTTGAACCACAAGGATGTTTCTGTTCCAAGGACACAGGATGTCCTTTTTGTTACACCTCCCCTTAGCAATGCCCCTTGGACTGACCTGTGGTAGAGTGGTGCAGTCCCTCTAGTCCTTCATGGACTGTGAAGCCCCGTCTTAGTTGCATGTAGGATTTGCAGGGGCACTATGTATTAGACACAGACCTCATGTTTTAGCAGGCAATTGGAAGGAGGAAGGGGAAAATAAACCCCTTGGTGGTGGAGCTGAAGCAGATGAGTTCCAGCTGCTGCCTCCAAGCCCTGGCAGTACAGGAGCTGTCAGGGTTGTAGCTATAGACCTGTGCACTAATAAAGGCTGTATGTAATTTGATTTGGTTTCTGGCTGGCATTGGACGGAGAAATCTGGCTGGAGCAGCGAGAACCAGGGACTGGCAAGGGGGCCAGTGAATGGAGACAAGGGTCTAATTTGCACCTAGCAAAGAGGAATGGGCCTTGTTGCTCCCTGCTGCTTAATTCCAAATGAAAGGGACCAGCCCTCCCTAGGCAGGGCAGAGCAGCAGAGGTGTAGGGGGCAGTAGAAGGCCTCTACTCCCATTCAGAAGTCCTGAAAAACTGCTGACACTAGCCCTTCTGCCGCCTGGGCAAGGCCAGTGCCTACAACCTCAGAGGACCCATGGCAAGGCTCTCAGCCAGGTGGGGCTGCAAGAACAGGCACCTGCCTGGGATGTAGCACCCCACCCCACCCCTTCATGGAACACACCAGACAGCCACCTGGGCAAGGGAAGAGATGCTCTGGAACATACTAGCTTACCACCTGTCACGGGGATGCAGCATGCAACCCCCAACCCAGGACTGTACCTTGTCACCTACAAGGTAGAGTGGGGGTTGTCAAGGCCTCCTCTCCCAGCATGTACTACCTCTGTCACCTGTAGCATGGGATCCCTCAGGTATTTTCAGGACCAAAATAAGCTCTGCCCTGGACTAAGCTTGACAGCCCAGCAACTGACTGCACTCATGGAAGTGGGGTGAAGGTAGAATCTCTATTTCTCTCACAGCTTGAAGAGGCAGCAAACAGAGAACCCAGGTGTCCTGGCTCTTCTGCCCTCCCAGAGCCAGAAGAACCCAGGCATCCTGACCCAGTTGATAGCACAAAGAACTCAGACATCCTAGCCCTCCTGCTATAACCCACCAGACCCCCCACCCCGCCCTTTCCCTCCCAGAGCTGGAAGAACTCAAGTATCCTGGCTCTCAGCTGAGGCGCTGCAGCAGCCCCTGCATCTCCCAGCTCCCGCCCCCCTTACCTTGCTGATGTTCTCCGTGGCGCAGAAAGAAAAGTGGCCGGTTGACTGTTACATTTTTTTTCCTTTTCCCCGTTTCTTGCGTGAGAAGACATCATATAAAACTATTTATTCATAAATATTTTCCAAAATGAAAATAGGCTTACGAAAAATATTTTAAACACCGGCCCTGCCTGGCCCCGCCCAGGCGGATCTATCGTACGGTGCCCACAGCCTTGGAGAAGGGGCGCTTGGGAGGAGGGGGGGAGCAGGGCAGGGAGCAGAAATTGAGGGAACAGACCCCCCCACCCCTGCTTTTTAAATTTCTGGCCCCCTCCATCAGGTGACCTACCAACAGAAGGGGGGGGGGGGGGAAA